CATTGGCAATTGAATTTCAGTGTTGCCCTATCTTTTTCTGATCTGATTCATTGATATTTAAATTCTAAAGGCACCCTTATTTTTTAGTCTGTCTGCCTACAAAATGTGCATAAAAGCACTTTGTCCTTTACCTGAGGGCCATAACTACTTTGAGTTGCATCATATTTTTTTAGAAAGACATCTAATCTTGATTTAAAGACTGCGAAGGATGGAAAATCAACTATATCCTAGTTAAGTTGTTTGAATAGTTAACTAGCCTGTTAAAAGTTGCAGGTTTTTATAATATGAATTTGACATTTTATTTTTTGAACTATTGATCCATTTTTAGCTTTTTTTTTTTTTTTTTTTTTTTTTTTTTGTGGTAGCGGTGGTGTATTAAAGAACTGTTTACGTCAGATAGCTCTTTTCCATGTATAGTATTGGTAGACCCTAATCAGGTCACCTCTTAACTTTCTCTTTAATAAACTAAATACATTAAACTTCTTGTTTTCCAGACCTCTTAACATTCTTTTGTATCTCATCTGATCTTTCTTTCCATTTATTTACACAGCTTTTGACGTGTGGACACCAGAATGGGACACAATATTCCAGTAGTTCATAGATTTCATGGTCAGAAGAGATTACTGAGAAAATTTAATCTGACTTTCTGTATAAAACAGGCTATAGACCTGCCCCCAAACAATTCCTACAGCAGATTTCTTTTTTTAAGGAAAAAACATCCAATTTTGAGGTTTAAAATTGTCAGTGACCGAGAATCCACCATTTAGAGAATTTGTCCTCGGTAAATTGTTCCAGTGGTTTAATTACCCTCACTGCTTTTAAAACTCACACTTTTTTTCCAGTGTAAATTCAATTTTAGTTTCTAGCTATTGGATCCTGTTATCCCCATTCACTGCTAGATTGAAGAGCTTATTATCAAATATTCTTCCCCATGTAGGTACTTATAGTCTGTAATAAAGTTGCTCCTTTACCTTCTCTTTAATAAGCTAAACTGAGATCTTTGAGTCAAGGATCTATATGTAGGACTTGTTTTCTAATCATTTAATCACTCCTATGACTCTCCTCCAAATTTAATATTTGCAAAAGATATTAAACTGGCCATAACATTAAATAGTTAGCAGAGCTACACTGTTATTCATGTATTAATGAACTGAGTCACGTGCCCTATTTAAACTCCAAGTATGTGTCCAACACTTTAGAAATGCTGTGCAATAAAATGCTAAATAGTACTCTATTTTAAATTCTGTTTTTAGTTCACAACAAATCTGTTACTTAAAATTAGAACACAATTTCACTTTCCAGTTAATTCTTGAAAAATATAAAGTTGGTATATAAAACTGTGTTTTCTGCAGCATGTTGAGGTAGCACTTATAGGATTTATTGACATTTTTAATGGAGACTAGATTTTACATTAGCTTTTTAAGGTTGAGAACAGTTATGATTTATTGTTGTCATAAAATACAACTTAGTTAATTAAACCAGAGTTGCTCCTATTTAATTAAAGTTTTGATAAACTCTCACAGTCTACTAATCTTAAAGCAGCATACTCATTTACTAGGAAGGGAAATAATGTTGGAAAAAGAGATGTTACAGAGGGGTCTCATTCGTGCTTAATTAACTGTTTAATAGGTTTTAGAATTGAAACTCATATACACATAACTAATGGGCTGTCAACATTTTGATGAATACAATGGACTATTTCAGGTTCATGCAAGTTTTTTAAGTGGTATTTATATAAGAAGAGAGAATAACAAATACCCTTCATGTTAAATCACTTCAGTGACTAATATATCTTTTTTTAAAATTGAATTTTGTTTCATATATTGTACTTCGTACTCCAAAGCCTTCAGTAGGTGCAAACTCTGGGAATAGGGGTGCAGGTGGCAATTGGCTTGTCAGTCATGGGAACTGTTTCCTGAAGTGTCCCTTTTTGGGGGGGTGGCAGTGAGCTAGGGATGTTAGTATGTAGTTGTTTACATGATTAACTGATAAGCCCAGGCTTATCGGTTAACCTAAATGACTTCCCACCCCCTCCCATTGTCAGAGGCAGCAGGAGGGTAGCTTCCTCACATGTAATTGTGTAATCGCTAAAAAATAAAATCCAGTGGCATTTAAAGGAATGCTGTCAGCACTAAGGAACACATACCTATCTTAGATTCTTCTATAATTTTTTACAAACATCTACATTTTTTAAAAACAATTTTTGGAGACATTGTTCATTCTTCAGTTTGCTTCTTTTTTGCACTTGAGCGCTGTGTGTATTGAATTACACTGTTTGTCCTGTTTAGATGGTTGGTTTCCTCCTGTTTTTATGTGTTGTGTTTTTGTGCGCAACATGGATGACAAAGATCGAGGGCAAAATCTTGACTTCATTGAAGCCAATGGCACAAAACACATTTATTTCAATGGGCCATGTATTAAAAAAAAAAAAAAAGAAAGGCAAATGTGGCTGTAAAACTGCAGTTTCTGGAATAGTGTGCAATGCTGCATGTAAAAGGTTTTTTTTAAAAAAAATCACTGAAGATAAACTAGATATTTTCTCGTTAACCCTTGCAATGTATTATTGCTGTTCATAAACAGAAGAGATGGACACAGATATTGTATATCTTATCCCACCTGTAAGAATGGCTTGCCACCCATCCTCTGAAGTTCACTTAGTGACTGTTGACAAAATATTTTAGCTGCTCAGAACCATGGTGACAGATCATAAGGAGATAAATAGTGCTAAACACTGATATCCTTGGCCATTTAACATTTTGTAGATGATCAGTAAGTTTGAACTGAACCAGAAATGTCGGAATATTGCACATGATTGGTAGGCAACTGTGTTTTGCATTAGCCCTTGCTTTTAAGGTATCTTAAATGTAGACTGGAAGTGATGGAGGAAGAATTTCTTTGGCAGTTTATGTTGCAGAGGAAGGGTTATAGTCTCTTGGCCAGCTGAAGATAGTGGTAAATATTTTATTAGTCTGTGGTAAGGTGCAGCTTATGTCCTTGAAAGATGGTTTCTTAACTTCCTGTTCCATTTGTGAGATGTTCTGAGATGGTAATAAAAGTAGACATTGTCTGCAGAGATAGGTAAGTGGAATGTGAGAGAAAAGAACTTGATTCTTCCAGATTCACTGTGGTTTTTCAAATTCATTGCCTACTAAGTTGCAAAAGTAAATTAATAAAAGAGCTCCTTTGTTAATATTGTGAATGTAACCTAAAGTGGTAGTGATAAGGATGATTATAATGTTGATAAAAATATGAAATTCACAAGACAGAACCAACATTCTTTTTTCTTGAATCTGAAAACAAATTGTACAATATGGAAAGGTAATATGGCTGAGGCCAAACATGAGACTATTCTAATTTTGTAAATGTTTAGGCCTAAATACTGCCAGGCATGCTTCCACTTTTTCTGTCATTCTTAATTGAAAAGCTACTTGTAGTAATATAGGATTAACTTGTTTATATAATAATTTAAATATTTAATTATTAACTTACAGAAAACGCAGGTTTCAGAAGCGTTGGGTTAAGTTTGATGGAGACAGTATTTCTTATTACAATAATGATAAGGTAAGTGTCTCTTTTTTGTGTATGGAATTTTTTAAAAAAGTATGTGTTGGTCTCCTAAGTGGAAGGTCAAACTGCAGATGAGCTATGGTTACTGTACCATAAAAGAAACGAAAATAAATATAAATCAGTATGTGTGTATAACTTGTTTCTAAATAGTATTTTCATTTGCAAAGTATTAGGCTGTGACATTAAAAGTTTGAAAATACTGTTGGGATCTTTGGCTAATGCTCCTTTTTTTTCTGATCTCCTCTCTGATCTTTCAAAGAGCTATCTTCGGAAGTCTGCTTTTTTTGTAGGATTTATGTGTATGACGGGAAATCTGCAAACCCGAACCAGATCACACAAACCACACTGTAGGGGGTCAAATTCTGTTTAGCTGCTGGCAATGAATTTTGCCCTAACTTGTCATAGCAAGATAAAGTGATCTTTTGATCAATGTTGTATAAAATAACTTTTTACCTGCTAAATACATTGAAAAATATCATT